TGAAATGGGGGGGTGGTTAAGATTGCCATCTCCAGGTTGGGAAACTCCTGGAGAATTTGGAGATCGAGCCTGGGGAGGACAGGGACCTTAGCGGGATACAGTGCCATACAGTCCACTCTCCAAAGTGTCCCATTTTCTCAAGGGGAACTGATCCCTGAAGTCTGGAGATGAGCTTTAATTCTGGGGGATCCCCAGGTCCCACTTGGAGGCTGGCATCCCTACTTCTAGAAAGTGCCTGAATTGCCTACAGCCCAAGGATATTGAAAGACTCACTAAGATGAGTCCACATGATTTTTAATCCACCCTTTTCAGGTGTCCTGGTATTTGGGAGGTGAATGGAAAGGGTAGACTAAAGACCATAAAAGTGAATAAGTAGTGTGGTCTGACTGGAGCTGAGAAGTTTTTTTTCCCCCTTGGGAGGTGAGTGTCTTGATAAAAAGTGCTTTATAAATATGACTCCCAAGATGGGTTACATCTTTCTAAATTCTTTACATTAAGAAAGTCCCAAGATACTTAGCATGTTCTGTTAAAAGGATCTCTGGTAGCAGGGCTAGGAAAGGAGAGCTACTGCCAGTCTTGCTGGACAGTAGTAGGACTGATGGACAAATATCCTGACTTGGTATAAAGCATCTTTATTTTCTCCTCTGTTCACCCCTTTCCTGTAGATTCCATTTTTGTTTTCTTCTTTAACATGCAGCTGTTTGGTCTAAAAACAGATTTCTAGGCGAATAACTGCTTTTGTCTGATGATATCTGTAATGTTGTCTGAACTGTGTGGATGGATATAGATGGGCTTTGTGCCCATCCCTGTTTCATGAATGTATGGCTTAATTCGACTGGCAATGGCTTTATTTTTCAAGACAAAAATAATTAAGTTGACTGTTAACATTTTTAATGCATTCTGGACTTGAAGCATTATGGTAAGCTACCAAAGCAACCATTTTACATAGTAATAATTTTCTTTAGACTAGTTACAATATATCATTTGAATTATATAATATGATGCATTGTTATTCCTTTTTTAACATATATGCGATGGATGCCTCAGCTCTTACCATGATTGGCATGTTGTTTTAATGTTGTTATGTTGCTGGTACAACTATTGGTAAAATCAAAACAGTGTCTTCTAGTTGGTTGGGCAGTGAACTGTCCATCCAAACAACCTCATCATACTGTGTTATAATCCACAGCTGTTAAATAGTGATATAAAGTATCCAACAGGGAAGTATCATATTGTTGCTATTTACAGATCAAGCTGTACTTAAATTATATATATATATATATATTTCCTTCAGGGCTCCACCGGTTTCCCTGGATTCCCAGGTTCCAACGGAGAGAAAGGTGCAAGGGTATGATACCATATTTCTTTATATTCTGTTTTGGGTTTTTTGTTTTTAATGTGGAACTCATTGCTCAGTAAATTCTAAAACTGAGAATACATCTGGTTACTGTTTTAAGAATCTTTGCCTATATTTAGCAATGGACAAGATTTATTAAGAATACAAAGGCAGTTGCTCAAGGGGACAGAGTAAGAATATTCACATTGGTAATGTTATACTTCAGTTACGCATTGTGATCACAGCCCAAAACTCTCTGGAACTCTGCTCTGCATGTA